TCTACAAAAAAATAAAGAGAGCTGGAAGTTATGGAATTGCAGGTGACTGTGATAAGTCTCGGTTAATAGCTGTTCAGAGCAGGTAGCACAAACAACTTGTTTTTAGACGTCAAAGATTATCGGAAACGCTTTTTTTTTTGCTTACGTTCTTACTTCTGCTTGTTATTTTTAATACCGAACATTTTAGAACAACGGGAAATCGTGTTTTTTTTTAATATGTATGAAATCTGTATCGGCTTAATCAGAGCAAATCAACATCTCTATCCTTCTCTTAAATACTTCCTGAATCATCAAATTAGGTTGAGATTCTAGCAGTTTTGAGAAAGTTACTTGGCGCAACTTTTTCTAAGATTGTCTTAATATAATTTATAAGCTCTGACGTGCTTAGAGGTTATTGCTATTACTTTTATTACTACCATCGTCTCCGCTGTCTTACACATCTGATCCATCAGTCTATCACTGTCGTATCTGCCCATTTACCCAACTCACCCTTGATCTTTTACCATTGTTATGGTAAAAAATTTTAGGTGCGGTTATCTTAAACCTGGTCAGACTAGTTACTTTAACCAACAGATCAGTTTTTTCTTTTTATTTTTGTGGTGGACTTTGTTTATCGTTTATCTATTAGCTGCATATCGTGGTATTTTACTTTCGGCTGGTAGTATTTTCTTTTTTGGGGAACGGGTTTATTAATACAGTCGTCGTTTCTGTTTGCGCGCACTCCCGTTTTTTCCTCATTTTAATCGTGTTGGTTCACCGAAGAATTCCGATTTAAAGTCGAAGAGCGTTATGGATGTTGCACATCAAAGTCTATAATCAGAAAGTACCTGTACAGCTTGTTTTTTGATGTGTATATTCTTTTTCTTTTAAACTTTAACCAAGTTCTATTTTCATTTTCGTTCTTTTCTTTTATCTTGCATTTAGCGCTAATGCTCCAAGTCATATATTTATTTGTTTACTCATCCTTGGCACTGAAATGAAACGTTTGGTTTTTAGAAGCTTGGATATATTCGAGAGTTTTCTCAAAACCCACTATTTTCGTGGGTGATTCTGGAGCTGGTGTTGCTGTTGTTGTGACTGTTGGTTTTTGTCTTACTTGACGTAAGCAGTATAACAGAATCGCTTTCACATAAAACTGAAGATGAATTTGAATTTCATCATTTTTTTCGGCGAACTGCGTGCCGGTTTCTCAGGGAATGATAGGTTGACGGTGCTCGACACATTATCGGGACACTTTTTGATTATTGTCTTACATTTGATCTTTCGTTGGTTCTTCACTGGTTAAGGAGGAGGAATTATTGGAGGAGGAGGGGAGATTGTGAATTGAAGAGCAGAAAAAAAGCCAAAAAAATGTTTCGGATAAAATGTATATCCGTAAGCAGCAAAAGAATAAAATTGATGAATGTATGCCAAAGTAAAACAGCGTTCTGTCGCAGTAAACTTTTTTTGAAGTTTCTAAAGGTTTTACTTTTTGCTTTTGTAAACTCGGGGAATTTTGAAAATAGGAGCTGAGGGAAGTATTGCTATAAATGTTGACAGATTACAATCTTTGCCAATTTATATTTTTTTAGCATTCAGTACAATCAAGAATGAGCAACAAAATGTCATCTTAAAATTCACTGCAAGTCATGTGTCACACGATGCTGATCAGACAGCCTTAATCATGACCTATTATCTCCGATATTTTCCTCAATCATAACATATATATTTTTTTGTATCGAACGTTGCTGCTTCCAGGTCGGCTATTAATAGTTTCAGTTTGCTTTGAAAGCCAGTAAGTTCCTATCGAATTTTAGGATAAAAACAAACAATTACTATAGGGTTTTCTTTGTAAGGATTGCACGGGATATCTGTTGATCTGAAAAAAGTTCAATAGTAATTAATGCATTTATTTAACAGACTTATTTTCAAGTCTGTTCTTCTATTTTATGTGTGCTTGTTGCAGAAGAATAAAGGGTTTGGTTGATTATTGTTCCCTTTTGTTCCTTTTTCTTTTTTGCTTTGTTTTACTTTGCTTTCTCATTAAATTATAATTTGTTTTGTCGAAGGGCGAAAACATATTTTTTACAACACTTTGTAAAAACGAGCGAATGGTAGGAGGAGAAAAAACGCCAAACGGCCTTCTTCATATTTCGTTGTTTAAAAGAAAAACAAGAGCAGGAACAGTTTTTTGTTTTCTTTTTTATTTATTTTAAATTTTTTTTGAGTTCAGAAGGTCATTTTCTGTTAAGGTTTCTTGAATAGCGTAGGTGTATTTGTAGAAACGCGTACCGGGTTTTCCTGCTTTGTTGAAAATCATGCTGTAAAATTGCTTAAGTGAATTCTCTCCGTCTGCTTGATTGATTGCTAACTGAATGTAGTTAGATTTTTTGATGTTTGTTTTTTACTGTGTTCAGTTACTACAGAAACTTTGTTCTGGTTTGTTCGATTTGTCAGATAAATTTGTATCTAAAACTAATTGGAATGCTGAAGGCGGAGTAAGAAGCAATTGGTGTGGCTACTGTTTTCTTTAGTTTTCTGCTGACTAAATTTGCTGAATCTTTAAAAAACTTTTATTAGCTTACTGGGTTCATTGGAAGGGGGACTATAAGTAGTGTCAGTTGAACGTTTGTGTTGTTCGAAGAATATGGTCGCCGTATATGAACAAGCTTATCTAGAATTGGTTTGGGAGTCTAAGCTCACTGAATTTGCGCAGTCGAGAAAAACACTGAATTAGGGACAGAAGAAGCAAAATTTCAAGGTCTTTAGGTAACTGGTGGGATGTAACAGTTAGATTTGCTATAGTTTCTGAGGTTGCAATAATGGTAGCACTAAAAAAGGTTTAGAGAA